TACCCGCTGACATATGGTCATTGTAGAATGATGTCACCGATTTTGTTTTGATGCCAATATCCTGCAAAGACAATAGATGCCAAACTAAAAATCAAATACAAAAGAAATCTTTGAACGCATGACGTACCGATAAGAGACCATAAAATTTTGGTTGCAATGTAAAGAATCGTGTATCTTTCGGTCGACCTTCGTCGTCAAAGTCAAATCGATGAAATCTCAAATGTATATGTTTAGACAACTAATAAAAAAGTCTATTTTTCTTGAAAATGTGAGGTATCAACATGTGTTGCGGATGACATGACAGAATGAACAAGTACGGTTATGTTTATCAAATGTGATTACTTCTTAAAATAAGTAACGAAACACGGCATACACATACGACTTACTTTGGAAGGATTTCATCCGGAGGTCGCATCACTGGGCGAGCGTTCGGATCGAATAAACCAGACGGGAACAGATATCTAATGGCTCTGAAATTTATGTTTACAGATATAAGCGAGCTGGGAGCCGTGATGAAATGATGATAAGGTAAGGTTGGTCTATACGTATTTCTTATGCAAGGCATACTAAAAAACCAGCGGAGCCTCTGTGGATTACACTTTCAAAAAGCTCATAATCTGCGCTATGTTTCGATACTTGAAAAGATAAGCTGTTATCATGAACTTTTTTCGATATTACTAGAAAATAAAGTAACCACTAAAGCGGATGAAGCGATAGAACCGACACCGAGAAGGCTTCAGACGCATGATACAATACAAGATATAGACATTTATGGACAAAAATACAACAAAAGACTTCAAGTAGTGATGTCTTGAGGTATTTAAAACATCTGTAACATGAAGTAAAAAAGAACTCACTCATCAATATCAGCCTGTGTCAAGGCGTGAGGGTCCAAATTCATCATATTTGCCAAGTGTCGCTTTCCCAACTCAAAATCGGCCCTATAGAAGCAGTACGATACTATTTTATCACTGTAAACGGTGACACTGTAAGGTTTTCCTTACCGCTCTCTAGCCATCATAGATACATGCTCTCTACTAAGCTTTATATAGGTCTCCAAAGCTCTTCCTATCTTCTTTACAGACCTTTCTTCAACAACACTGGACGATGATGGCACAGCATCCGTGGCCAGCAACCGTGCAGCCCGCACGCTGGGCACCAGCGTGCGGAGCATAACTACTGCAATTTCTGTACTCGTAGGAATATTATCAGGTAGACGTAAGGGCAATTCTCAGACGAAGGCGGCTTTCCATGTAAGCGACGCGTGTGCGGGCGCACGCTTCAATGACGAAAGATGCACGAACGCGGCGCTCG